CCTCTCCTCCTTTCCCCTCCTCGCGAACAGGGGTCGAGCCGCTCGAACCCCGCAGTTTTGTCTACCCCTCTGGGGGGGGGCGACCGACCCCCCATGGGGGAAACGGCAGCAACGTCACGATCCTCATGCCGACGAAGCAGGAACCGATGGAGGAGGAGGAGTCTGTTTTGCCGCACCGCACTGCCAGGGTTTTTCTTCATGTTTCATCTCACCGACGCAGCCGCCGCGTGACAGAGTAAGGGCGGATGTTGAGAGGTGGCGTGATGGTGGTGGATGGGCGCTGTGCTGGGACGTATAAGTTTTTCTGTCCATCGCAGCTGCTCAGATAGATGTTGACCCCCGGTGTCCGTGTTTTTTTGTTTTCTCTCCAGTTTTTCCCAAATGAGCCCCCCTCCCTCCCAGGTCCTTGCCGGGTGGGAGGGGTGGGAAAGGTGTGCGCGGCTGAAAACATCGTCTCCGTCAGCCGTTCGCAGCAGCAGTAGGAAAAGGGGGTGGAGGATGGGAAGGCAACCCAATAAACAGGTGTGTGTGTGTGAGGTATGGGGTAAGGATGGCGTGGGCTTCCAATGGCAGGGTCATCGCAATCTGCGTACCTCGGCGCTTCCTGGGGGCTCTCCTCAACTTCGGCTCGCGTGTGCCCAAGCAATCATGGGGATCAACTAGGGAGTCCTCTTGCAAGGCTCACGGAGGCCTGTGACGATGACAAATCTTTGAGAGTGCCCCAGAATTGTATCCGAGCTTCGCAGGGCCTTCTGGAACGGCCGCGGCGCCCGATACATCTTATGGGCCCGCCAAAATCCAGAGATTCCTTATCCGATGAGGGCGGTGGTCATCTCCATGAGCAAGCCTCCATTCGTGTTCCACCAGCTTTCGGACCCTGGACTGCTCATGCAAATGTTCTTTGTCCAGATTTGTTTCCGGATTTGTCTTCATCCTGCCTTATCGGACTGCCGAAAAAAAAACCTCTTAGGGCCCCGAAGGGAGCCTTTAGGTACGATGAGGGCAGTTCTTCTCCGCCCTCAGACATCCGACTGCTCCAATTTTTGGTAAGGCGCGGGCCCCGGAGATCTGGACCACTTCCCCAGGGCCGGTTTTTCGTCCCGATGTGTTTTTTGACGGTCCCTGGGTCCGGCGGGGGCCCCCAGAGGCCGAAAATAGTGCAATTTCCGTCGCCCCACTGTTTTTGGAGCGTTGTATCTTTTGGCCCCCCCATTCTCGGCGCCCCCGTTCTTTCGCGCCCAACCTTCGTTCCGTCGGGGGCGGTCGGCACTGTGGGGACCTGCCGGGGTCCAGGAGAGGGGCGCCCTGCGGGCCCGGGGCCGCGCCCTCCGTGGACTCCTGGGGGGTGGGGTGGGGGCGGCCAGGGCTGTTCGCGGCCCAATCCACTGACGATCCGACTTCCAGGCCTCGGCTGGTGATGTTCCGACCTACTTTTGTGGAAGGTGTTTCAGGCCAGGCCAGTAGGGACACCCGCAGTTGTCTTCTTAATTGTCCTCTTCTCTCACCCCTCTGTGCGTGACCCTCAAGGCGCACGCGTCTTTGTGGAGTGTCCTGCGGCCAAAATGCCCTGTGCAGGCGCCATGCCGCAGGGGGTGGGTATATGCTGACTGGCTGTCTTGCTCGCTTATCCCTTTCACAATTTGAGCCGTGGCCACCAGAATACACTGGTGACCCATGCCAAGAAACACCCTGCTTGCCTCCAGGGTGCCCTGGGTGTTTTGGGTTTCGATGGTTCCGCTATGGGAATCGTGACGTCCCCACACCACAAATCAACGGACGTCCTGGGGTCTCAGGGTTGGGTTTCTTGTGGAAGGTCTCTTGTGGTCGAGCTCCTACCGTAATTTCGCCGTGGCCACCAGAATACGCAGTCTCGAGCAGCAAGGGAACAGCGAGACGACAGGGCCTTGGCGTGTCGGGTCCTTTCGGGGGGGGGGGCGGGGGCGCTGCTGGTCGTTCGGTTTTTCGCCGGCGTGCCGGACAGGCACTGGTACCAGGAACCTTGAGAGACGGGGGTCAATGCAAACGGGGGTCAGCCAGAGCGCCCGATCTTGCAAGATCCTGCAGGGCCAGGGTCGCACTGACCTGGGTTCGGGCGCAGGACCCTGCAGGATCTTGCAGGATCTTTCGCATTGACCCGGGTTTGGGTGCAAGGTCGTGCAGGATCTTGCAGGATTCTGCAAGGCCTGGCTGACCCGGGTCTGGATTGACCCGGGTCAGAAAATCTCCGATGCAACGATATTTTTTCGGGGTGCTCGAAGTGATCTTTGGGATGTGGTCTTGGAAAACGATGGGATCAACATTTGCTAGTTCGAAACATATCCCAATCCCTAAGCCGGCCCAGTTCCTATACAGGGGGAGGATTCCAGAATCGCCAACACATAGTAGGGGGGGCATTTTGTGAGTTTTTTTTGTTGAGCATGTTTTGTATACGTGTATATATATATATATATATATATACACACGTCCAAAATCTCCTTGTCGGGAGACATGCCCGACTTGAGGTTCTTTCTGGGAAGTGGTCTTCAGAAGCGATGGGATCAACATTTCCCGGTTTGAAACCTATCCCTATCCCCATGCTTGGCATCACCTCGTCTCGGTGCCGATCTTAAGCGCTCCCTCCGTTTCTGAGGGCACATCCCTAAGAATGTCCTCGCTATGTGCTCGCCCATGTTAAGGTTAGGGATAATTTCGAGGCTGGCTAAACATAGGCTTCGACTCCGATCCTGGTCCGACCTGGTCCAGCACGGGCCGATCCTCTCTCCAGCCCAGGATCGTCAGGAGGGAAACACACACACAGACTCAATTAATCGTCGATTCCCCAGAAGATATGGGAAAATATGGGAAGTGGGGGGGAAGACAAAAACCCAGAAAATATGGGAACATATGGGGGATATTTTTACTTGTGTGTATTTATTTGGGGTCCCAGGGCCCCTTCAGATCGGGACACATCGTTCCAGAGCGTCCCTGAACGCTCTCAGACATCACCGATGTGTCCCTGCCCGATTTTGTCACTGTCCTGGTTTCGTGCGGAATTCGGCGGCGAGCGAGGGGGGGAAGTGAGAAGGATAATACCTTCTCAGAAGGTTCGGAAATCCGTTGGCCTTCTGAGAAGTTTCCTGAGCCTTCCCCGAAGACAAGAACAACTTCTCAGAAGGCGCGAGGGCTTTGAGAAGTCCCGCCGCCTTCCGCGGAGGCCCTCGCTCGTCGCCGGGAAATGGCCCGAGCCCGATCCGCGATCCCAGGCGGTCTGGTGCCGATCCCTTTCCGCGCCGACTCGAGCGCGGTCTGCTCCGTTTCCGGTCCGAGGCGTTGTGTGCGATGCGGTCCAGCTCAGAGCCTGGCGTCCAGGCGTCCCGCACGCCGTGCCACCCCTGGGGTCATCGGGGGTCGAAAGCCGTACCGCTATCAAACTTGCGCTGCGCGTGATATGCAGTTTCAAGAGACGGCCGGCATCAAGCTCGGCTGCATATACCTTTCCCCCTCCTCCTCCTCCTTTTTCCCCTTCTTCTGAAGGAGACCTCGGGCCAGCTGTTGTGGCAGAGATGAGTCTCGTCGTCTGCAGAGATCTCGTATGGCACAGGTTCCGAATTGATGTTGTTTCAAGGAGCGGAGGATGCTTATAGTCTTCCTTATCGGGGAAACGGAAAGACTCGAGCAAGCCGGAACTCGGATTTGCCGACGTTTTCTGTGGAGCGCGTCCTGGATTTTGACGGTCCGATGCTCGTGGGATCTTTGCAGCGGGAGCTCGCGTCAAACTTCAGATTGGGCCGCGCCATTCTCATAATGGCCCCGTCAGGCCAACCCGAGTCCCCCGTACAGTGCTGTTTTTCATGCATGCTCCGCGTGCGGATCATGTATCAAACATGCAGGGATTTAGTATTAAGAACAACGATGAGTTCATGCATGAATTTATTCATACATTAATCATGTATTAAACATCCGATTGAAAAACTTTCCGTACACGAGTCTTACGTCTCCCCGATCCCAGCATGCACGTGCGAGCCGATCGTGCGTTCCGCGGGCGCCTCACCCGCGAGCCGCGGTGGCCGTTGCACAGGAGGCGCAACCACCACGCGGGGTTTCGCTTTGGCCGACCTGTTCTACTGTGAGACTCTGTGATGCTATCCTTTCAGGCCCTCACCCTTGACATCGGGCTGTGGCAGACCTTCTGGGTCTCCCTTCTGTTTAAAGCATGCCTCGTGCAGAACAGAGCTGCTTTCCGTCTTGTGGTTCTCCCACTTGGACTTTAATTGGCACCCGCCTTGTGATTCCTCATTGGCCAGGGACGCCAGGCAAACTCATGTGGCGGGTCGTTTTCTTTTTTCGCCTCTAAATTCATTCCTCTTTCTTTCCTCTTCCTTATCATCGCCTCCCACTCCCCTCTCGTCCTCCCCGTCCTCTTCCTCCTCGTCTTACTCCCCGAAGCTTTCGGCCCGGTGGTCGGGTCCAGCCGTCTCCGCTGCCTCATCGCCTCCTCTCCTCCAGACAGGTCCTCCGAGTCCACCCCAATCGCTCTCCCGGCGTACCCCGTCGGCGAGACAAGTAGTTCATACGTGCACAGGCGGCCTTAAGGTCGTAGGACGCGCAAGCCGAGCTCAGCTCAACAGGTAGTGCCCGCCAGGAGGAAAAACCCTCCTCGTCCCTGATACTCTCCCCTCGTCCCTCCCCCTTGTTCGTCGTCTCGCTCTCCTCCTCGCCATCCCACTCGTCCTCTCTCCTCGTCCTCCCTCCTCGTCTTCAGCATTCTGCTTTTCAATGCGCTACTTGAAAGCGGCATTGATTTGCAGGGCATTGGGATACTTGGTGTTTCTATCTCACCTCCTGCTCCGCCTAGTCTGCATTCAGATGCTTTTACTGGCCGCCGCACACGAATGTTACAGGCTTGCTCCTAGAATCCGCTCAACGCAGACAGTTGCGCGCGCGCGCTTGTCGTCGTCGTCGTCGTCGTCGCCGTCGTCGCTGCCTGTCGCTGCCCGTCGTCGCTGCCCGCCGTCGCCCAGGCGGCCTCCGCGGCGGATCGCCAGGAGCTGCAGAGCCCCCAGGCGGCGCGAAGGCGGCCGGCCCCTCGAGATCCCCCAGCCGAAAGTCGGGCACGTCCCTCTACAGGGGGAAAATATCAAAAAACAATCGAACAGATAGTCTGGGGACGATTTACCCCTGGCAATTTTTCTTGCTGCTGTCTTGGGGGTCTTGTCTGGGGTGTCTTTTTTTATTTTTCGTCCCAGATCCGCCGGTAGGTGAAGGGGCCCGACCGAAACCCCGCCCCCTGGAGCCTCACGCCTCGAGCGTGGCAGCCTCGAGCCTCGACCGAGGGTGCGCCCCGCGCGCGGGAGGCCCGCGCTTGCCAGGGGCAGAGGCCCCGGCCCCTTTGCGGGCGCGGCCCCCGTCCGGTCGAGGGCCGAGGGCCTTCTGGTCGAGCTGCGCGCGGGCGGGGGCGTGGAGGGGTTTTCTCCGAAGGGCTTAGGCGAACCCTCCTCCTCCTCCTCCTCCTCCTCCTCCTCCTCCTCCTCCTCCTCCTCCTCCTCCTCCTCCTCCTCCATCCCCCTCCTCCTCTTCCACCTCCTCCTCCTCCTCCTCCTCCTCCTCAGGTCGCCTACGGCCACTGGGGAAGCCGTGCACTCCCAAATCCTCGATGATGTGTTTTTCGATCTGGGCGTCTTTCTTCTGTTCTGGCTTCTAGGGCTTGGTGTCGGGTCCCGGGGCCCTAATGAAACAGAAGCAGTATTGGCGGAGATGGCAGGGGGTTGGCGTGTGTGCGTGCGCGTGCGCGTAAGTGTGTGTGTGTGTGTCTTTTTGTGTGTGTGTGTGTGTGCTTGTGTGTGTGTGTGTGCGTGTGCGTGTGTGTGTGTGTGTGTGTGTGTGTGTGTGGTGCTTGTGCGCGTGCGGTGTGCGTGTGCGTGCGTGTGCGTGCGTGTGTGTGGCGTGTGTGTGTGTGTTGTGGTGTTGTGTGTGCGTGTGTGTGTTTGTGTGTGTGTGGCGTGTGTGTGTGGGTGTGCGTGTGGTGTGTGTGTGTTGTGTGGGTGTGTTTGTGTGTGTGTGTGTGTGTGTGTGTGTTGTGTGTGTGTGTGTGTGCGTGCTGCGGTGCGTGCCTGCGTGCGTGCGTGCGTGCGTGTTCGTCTGTGTGTGTGTGTTGGTGTGTGTGTGTGTGTGTTGTGCGTGCGTGCGTGCGTCTGCGGTGTGGACGCGTCGTGTGTGGTGTGTGGTGGTGTGCGTGTTGTGTGTGTGTGGTGTGTGGTGGGTGTGTGTGTTTGTGTGTGTGTGTGTGTTGTGTGTTGTGTGTGGTGTGTGTGCGTGCGTGCGTGGAGTGCGTGTGGTGCGTGTGGTGGTGTGTGGTGCGTGTGTGCGGTGTGTGTGTGTGTGTGTTGTGTGTGTTTGTGTGGTGTGTGTGGTGTGTTTGTGTGCGTGCGTGCGTGTGTGTGTGTGTGTGTGTTTGTGTGTGTGTGTGCCCCCTCTTTCCCTTCTCTGTGCCCTCGTCGCTGCCCCGCTGCGGGCCGCGCTGTCGATGCCCGACGGGTGGATCCTGCGTCTCCCCGCCGCGTGCGTCGGGCCAGCGCGCGCGCTTCTTCTTCCTCCTCGTCCTCCTTCTCCTCCTCCATCCCCTCCTCCTTCTCCCTCCTCCTCCTCCTCCTCCTCCTCCTCCTCCTCTCCCTCCTCTCTCCTCCTCCTCCTCCTCCTCCTCCTCTCCTCCTCCTCTCTCCTTCCTCTCCCCGCCTCCTCCTCCTCCTCTCCTCCTCCTCCTCCTCCTCCTCCTCTCCTCCTCCTTCCTCCTCCTCTTCCTCTCACCCTCCTCTACTCCTCCTCCTCCTCCTCCTCTCCCTCCTCCTCCTCCTCCTCCTCCTCCTCCTCCTCCTCCTCCTCTCCTCCTCTGCCCTCCTCCTCGTCCTCCTCCTCCTCCTCCTCCTCCTCCTCCTCCTCCTCCTCCTCCTCCTCTCCTTCCTCCCCCTCCTCCTCCTCCTCCTCCTCTCTCCTCCTCCTCCTCCTCCTCCTCCTACTCCTCCTCCTCTTCCTCTCCCCTCCTCTCCTCCTCCTCCTCTCCTCCTCCTCCTCCTCCTGTTCCTCTCCCTCCTCCTCCTCCTCCTCTCCTCCTCCTCTTCTCTCCCTCCTCCTCCTCCTCCTCCTCCTCCTCTCCTCCCTCCTCCTTCTCCTCTCCTCCTCCTCCTCCTCCTGCCCCTCCTCCTCCTCCTCCTCCCCTCCTCCTCCTCCTCCTCCTCCGCGGAGCGCTGCGCGCGTGGCCGTGACGCCAAAACGTGTGTGATCGATCGCGGTTCCCTCCGGCTGAGCCCCCGTGCGTCCCCGCTGCGCTGCCCGACGGCCCGGCCGCGCCCGACGCCCTGCCGCGTTGGGGCTCTCCTCGGCCGCCGTGCCCGGCTCTGTCACGTCGCCGCGCGCGCGGCCGGCTCTGTGCGTGCGCCTTGCGTCCTTCGCCGTTCTGCTGCGCCCTCGTCGAGCTCATGAGCCTGACCTCCAGCGCCGCTTGAAGATCTGCATGGTCTGGGGTCTGGGAGCTGTGTGGCCGCTTCGCGGCCGCTTCCTCCTCCCGCCTTGCCCTTCCCTT